TTTCCCCAAAAATATATTATTATATACATTGTTCATTTACATAGTTGCTTACATGTAAAAGAGGAAACAAGATAATGCCATACAGAGTATGATGCGTTTGTAAACACTAACTGTTGTAAGGCTGACAGTTTATAGTTCGGTTATGTGCTTTTGCTGCTGTTACTTACCTACTAAATTACGCCTGTTACCCCCAATCGAGCATAGGCCGCACACCAGTTTTCTCCAACCAATGCTGTCTGTCCTGGGCTTCCCTCTCCAGTTCTGTCCAATGTTTGTTCATTACTCTCATATCTTTCTCTATTTCACGGCGTAATGTGTTCCTTGACCTTCCACTTTTCCTTTTGCCTTGAGGGTTGCATGTGAGGGCTTGTCTTCTGACGCAGTTCGTTGCTTTTCGCAATGTGTGTCCTATCCACTTCCACTGCATCTCCCTGATTTCCTCCTCCACTGGAATCTGGTTTGTTCTCTCCCACATTAGGTTGTTGCTGATAGTGTCTGGCCAACGAATCCGAAGTATTTTGCTGCTGTTAAGCTCGGTTAATTAGCTAAATACTTCAATAAACATATTTATCGGTCGTTTTCTTGCGATTATTATTATTATTAATATTACTATCAGCTCCTACTTCAGACGCATTTAGTTAGAATTTTATCAAACTATCAGTTCAAGTTCATTAGAAACTAACTACATGATTCACTCATATCTAAAGTTGTTATTTTCCAAAACGATGCTAAAAAACCTCACAATCAAACCATTTAATTTAAATAAAACACAACACTAAATTGGAAATCCTAGTTATCATTATTTACTTGAAGGATTCACGTTTTACGCAATCAGTGAAAGTCAAAATAAGAAATATTTTGCCCGAAGTCTGATGAGAATGATCCTGAGTTCAAAAAAACAAACAGAACGAATGTTAGATCACCATTGATGATTTCAAATGTGTAAAAACACAAACCTCCAAAACTGTGCCCCAAAATGTCGTAACAGTGCTCACTAGTTAGTGACTATCTTCGTGAACAAAATTCTCGGAGTTCTAGTTGAGAAGACGTGACCGATGGAGTTCAGCCTTGTCGGGTGTAGGCAGTAACTACTACCAAAGACAAATGGATGAGGTCGCGCAAAATCCCTAGATCAATCAGAGTTTCATATTACCACCGTTGGATGCCGGCCCAGTGGTCCAATGGTAAGGCCTCGGCGCACAATACCGAAAGTACCGGGTTCGAATCCTGCGGGGAGCAGGAGTCGTGGATGAGCATTGTCACTGATGAGTCCCATACCAGGACGAAACGGCCGTCCAGTGTTTCCAGGTTTCTAATGGTGGTCTAACAATGATTGATTGATGATTTCAAATGTGTAAGAACGATTGTTATTTAGATTTTAAAATTTCGTACTAAAATGTTAAAATGAATAAGATTTGAATTATTAAAAAATGATTCGCTTCATAAAGTAGCCTTTCCAGCATCCATATCATCTTGAAATAGACAACAAATATCAAAGAGATTCAACGAATATTTATTTCTATATGATAATTATTTATCATGTAGACATCATACATAATTGGATGCATGTTAGACAAAACTTAATGATTAATTATTTTTCATTAGAAAGTAGCGACCTGAGGCAAAAGTACCCGAAATGTGTTCCCTTTTTTCTCTTTTCTAAACCATGTTATATATGTATGCTTAACAATACAATTAATTCCTAATGTAATCAATTACTAAAGGAAATTTAATAAGCAGAAATTACGTAAAGGCATTTTTTTAAACGTGATGTAGATTTTATAGAATCCTTTATGATTCGAACGAAGAATGAAGAATTTATTACAAGTAATAATTTTTTCTTAAAGCCATCATCCAGAAGATACAAGTATTTATTAACAGTTAGTTGTCTACGCAAAATACTTCGGATTCGTTGACCAGACACCATCAGCAACAACCTACTGTGGGAGAGAACAAACCAGATTCCAGTGGAGGAGGAAATCAGGAAGAAACGGTGGAGTTGGTGGATAGGACATACACTACGAAAAGCACCAAACTGCGTCACGAGACAAGCCCTCACATGGAACCCTTATGGCAAAAGGAAAAGAGGAAGGCTAAGGAACACATTAAGCCGAGAAATAGAAAAAGATATGAGAGGAATGAACAAACATTGGACAGAACTGGAGAGGGAAGCCCAGGACAGAATTGGTTGTAGAAAACTGGTTGGCGGCCTATGCTCCATTTGGGGTAACAGGCGTAAGTTAGTAGGTAAGTAATAGTTTCTTCTGTTTGTTTTAAATGAAGCATCATGAAATATAATGGCGATTCTGAAATTCAGTCATCCGGAAGACACAGTGAAAGTGAATGGGACACATGTTACGATAAGCATCCAACTGATTCACAACAAAAGCCCTCATTTGGAACCCTCAAGGAACAACGAAATGAGGAGAAGGCCAAGAAACACAGACATGAAGGGAATGAACAGCGATTAGAAAGAACTATATATAGGGAGGCCCAAGGCAGAGTAGGTAGGAGAATACCGGTCAGTGGCCTGTGCTCCATTTGGGGTAACATGCGTAAGTAAGTAAATAAGTGAGTACGTAAGTAATTAAGTAATTAAGTAAGTAAGTAAGTAAGTAAGTAAGTAAGTAAGTAAGTAAGTAAGTAAGTAAGTAAGTAAGTAAGTAAGTAAGTGAGGAACTAACTAACTAACTAAGTAAATGAGTATACGTTAAAACTACTGATCAATTGTCAATTTATTTGTGTCACAGAAAGTTTACTTTAGAATGTTTTTCAAATGTATCTTAATTAGCATGATTGAGAGTTTGAACTTTATTTACTTGACTGACAAGGTGAACTACATAAATTAGATGGCAGTGTGTCAAATTGCACAATAAACATGCAGGCGAGAAATTCACATTCAAATTATATTTAAACACACCTAACAAAGTTTGACCGGATAATTTCAAACAAATTGAACATTCTATAGATTGTTCATAAAATAATGATCTATATATATGTATATATTCGTGATATTAAGATAGTGAAGAAGATTTGTAGCTCAGGTGGATGATTGTGGTGGTGGTGTCTGGTTCTCTGAGCTATTTGTTTTGGTTGTTGAGCTTTCATTGTTGTTCTTCTGAACAACATCATCAGCACTAACTTCAGATAGGAGAAGTGAAGTGTTCGAATTTATCCACGTTTGACCTGTAGCTTGTTCTGCTAACCTCGATCTCAATTAGTTGTTGTCGACCTTAAACCTGTCGTTGTTTTCACCTTTGTTTTGATTGCATCCGCCTTTTGAACTGTTTCTTGATCCTATGTCACCTATGAATTTTCTGATTGGTTGATAAATTGGGTCAGTGTCGATGTGTTTATTGATTGCTGATTGACCTGAGTCCCAAGCTTCTAAAAATTCTGTAGAGATGATGTTGTTCAGAAGAACAATGAAAGCTCCACAACCCAAACAACCAGCTCATAGAAAGAAACACCACAATAATCATCCACCTTGTGGTGTGAGCTACTTATAAGTAGTATATGACGTGAGCGTCAAAGTAATGTCTGGCAGTAGAAGATGGGGGAAGATCAAGAAAGGAAGAGTTAGAAGAACACAATGGAATTTGTATGAAACACATGAATAGTGACAATGGATTGATGTTTTTCAACAGGAACAGTCCAGTTCGATATGATGTATTGATATTTTGCAAATTAACGATTTACGATATGGTTTTCTAATTTTACTGAGTAACACTGTAATTATCATTAAATGTAATTCGGTGGCCCCACCTGTGTTCTCTTTCACTACAACCTGAGCTACAAGTTCTTCCCACCATCTTAAGTTAAAAGGCATCAACTGTACATATGGATGACGGTTTTTTTTTGGATACGCTTTTTGGGGAACACACTCAAGAAAGCAAGTTTAAATTGCATTTTGTTTCAGATAGGAGTTCTAATTTTTAAGCACAAAACGGTTTTGAACTTTAGTAAGTTTCTGATTATGTTTAATCCTATTCGTCTCGCTCCACATTCATATTTGTGTTAAATGGATCAAATCACTTGAATATTGAATGGTTTGTTTCAAATGCAATTAAGAAAGTTCAGTAGCTAGGCTAAACTGAATTGTAGGTTGCATTCAGTCAGTCAGATGC